TATACTACTTTTATTTAATTTTTTTATATATAATTTTTATTGCATACTTTTATGATCATATTTTTAATGTAATTATCTGCTATTGCTATAAATTGTGGTCCGCAAACTGCATACATGCAAGATATTTATTAAGTAATAGCCTCCTAAAGTTTATACTAGCGAAGTAGATTTGATGTAAGAGCCGAAAATTTGTTTCAAACATTTTTAGCATATTTTTAGGGGTATGCGTATATTTCTGTATTGTAAGGGCACAGATTAGTATATTTCCTGGATAAGCACAAAACACTACAATTTTAAAATTAATGCTAGCAAAGTATGTATGTACGTAATTCTCTAGAGCCTAAACGTATACTATTTTGCTGAACACATTTGGCAGGACATTAACATAATGGTGATACCTGTGAGAAGAGCTTAACGTTAGTAAGCGGCTGCAATGCATGTGATGACTATGCGATAGTGTAATAAAATGAAAAGATATGGGTGTTAGTTCAGAGGCAGGTAAAAAAAAAGAAATTTATAAAAACTTAAAGGGGAAGCGAATGAAAGCTAGTCTTAAAAGCCTGTTTAAGTTGAGTGCTTTTGCTACGAACAGCTGATTAGTGCATACTTAGTATGCTCGGCTGAGTTTATGTAAAAAATATTTAATTCTTCACTGAGTTGCTTCGAAATAAATGTGCATGCGCCTGGAAGTAGGCACAATAAATTAATGTTTTTAACTTATTTTAATTTTTTGGACTACTAAAACGCAAGATTGTTGCCTGCACTAGCTTTCTGCTAAAGCCATTTTAGGGCCCGATTTTAAACACGCAAAATGTGAGTTTATTATTTAATGAGCATTTCGGAGCACTCTTATGTGTTGCTACTTTTAGGCATTACTTTTTTTGGGCACACTGAAAAAAGCGCAAAATTTGCTACTACAGGTATGCCTGCTGTATAGACCTCGCATGTTAGCCTCTTAAATGTATTTACAGGCTCATTTATGCCTTCGCGTGCGATCTTTTGTTGAAGATTTAAGTTGTCGCCGTAATTTACGGTATACAGTGTGGTTGAATGCATTTTAACATGCCTTAAGTTGTTAGCATTGTTGCTTTTATTGTGTAAATATAATGTATTACAGCTTTGGTTGTGTTTCTCATTAGCACTTCCATAGGCTCATCCACCTGTTTTACGTGTTTTGGAAAACTTCGTTTCTTTTAAGCGCCTAAAAATCGCCTATAGCTGTTACATATTCATATTTATATAAAAACCTTTTTTATACAAACTTATATAATTATATAATTATTTTTTTATCACTATAAGTTATGTCTATACATGGCGTGTTGTCGCTTAGCGTAGTCTATTACTTAGTGGCATATAGTGTGTGGCATACCTTCAGGCATCTGTCACGCGCATTTCCGCATTGATTCGTGTTAATGCGTTAAGACCGTGTTAGTTGGTGTGCAAGCAGTTTAATTAACTGTATGTGATTTATAATTTATTTTACGCCAGAGAGCATATGCGCTGACGCGGCAGTACTTATGTATATACATATATATTTGTTGAAAAAATTTGTGAAATTTAAAAAAATAGGTTAAGAACTCTACGTAATTGTTGAACAGTAAAAGCAAATTGTTTACTTTGTAAAAAAAATAAATACTTTCCTGTATAATTTGCATAATTGTCAAACAAAATCTTGGGACTGTTTTTACATGCTTTTAGGCTTGGTGAGTGTATATAGCTTAAGATATTCTATCTTACAAAGGCCCATCACGCGCGTTATTTTGCTTCAAAACGATATGAATTTAAATTTTAATTTGAATAAAAGCTTAAACTTTTACTTTGCATACTTTTTGGAGCGAAATGAGGTTATTCCATAATATGCCTATACATTTTTATACTCATTTGCAACATGTTGATTCAGAGTATAATAGTTTTTTCACTTAATGGTTGCTTGTAACATTTAAAAGTAATTGATATATACATCTAAATGATAAAAATAATGAGTAGATTTGAAATCCGGGCGACTGCCCGTCTGTCCAAGTAATTTTAATAATATTTTGTAATGAAAATTCCTTTTTTTGTGACGTAGATTTGGAAGTTTAAAACAGCGAAAAAATGCATCTATATTTATCATTTTATAAAGCATACTTTTAGCGGCGAACAACACTTTAAATTTGAAATAAATACTTCCATTGAAGCTCAATTTTTGTTGCCTTCAATTTCGTTTCTTTCTCAACTTATATATACTCAATTAACTCTGCTGAGAATTTCTAATTTTACCCAGGAAGTTGTCGCCACATTTAAGATGCTTAAAAATTTGTACAAAGTCCCCACTAATTTTTCACTAAAATACCAACGGATCTAATTTACAACCACTGTTGCACTGAACTTTTGATAAAAACGGCACACCGAAAATCCGTTTGCTCTCGCCTAAAGGTAGGCTACAGCAAGCCCACAGCCATTGAAATCAAACAACAAAAGCATGCCGCTTATAAGCTCAGCAGCAGCACTTGCGTTTAACTGTAAATACGACGAAGATGCGTTTATACCGATTTTCTAAGAATTTTAATAAACTTTCATGTGTAGTGTGTGTTTGGGGGGCGTGTCTGCGAAGTTAGGTCAACTAACGTCCCACAAAAAGAGACACAGTCAATCCCTTACGCGGCTGCCTGCATGACAGCAGTGCGTTTGTGCAAAATCACATCAAGTGAAAGTAAAAGGGTTAACAAGTTCAAAGTGTTGATGGGGTATTTTAGGCGCACGAACTCGCACAAAGTTACAAAAGCTGCCCTTTGTTTATTTGTTTTTTTAGACTACTTTATGTTGAGCATAATTTTTGGTGCTGCTAGGCAGTCTTTCAGTTGCTTTGCCATTTTCATATGGTTGAGTTCGCACAAAGCGTTTAGGTCACCGGGTCAAAGTTTTTGGTCGCTATGCTCGTCGAAGGACGAGCAGTCTATATATCTCAATGCTGCTAATGCGACGAGAAGTTCGTGTTGTTGTGAATACTTTTAGGAGATTTTAATTAAAATTTTCAATATTTAAACAAGATAATTGTTTGTTGCTTACAAATATATAAAAGCATTGTCGCCGTTTATTTGTAATTTATTTGAATTAAAAAAAAAATGAATTTTCCAAGCACAAAGTATGCAATACTTTATAAGTTTCCCGAAACTTGGGAATGAATTTTTAAACTAGTACTGTAAGTAGAGAATATAAATCTTAAATGCAATTAAAATAAAATATATTAATATGCGCCTAAAAGTATGCAATGTATAATCAAGACCTTTTAATTAATTTCTTTTACGCAAAAATTGTAAATAGGCGTCGTACTTAATATGCCGCATTAAAATAAATGATGTTATGAATGAATGTTATTTTCATGTTTTATATGTATTCAGAAATAAATTTATATGTTTTTAGAAATTAAATTCTGTCATCGAAGCCGAAAAGTATGTAATAACGCAAAAAATCCCACCTGAATAGAGTCACTGTCAACATTTAAAATATCTAACACCACCAAACTAAATAAAAATTTAGTACACATACATATTTGAAGTAAAGCGCCTAAATGTATACTTTGCTAATTAAATGCTAAAGAACAATATAGCAGTCAAAATTTCCTACTAACTGCTTTTGAGCATGCATAGAATCGCATTTCTTGTCAGACCAATAAAAAAACTTCGCATAAAATATCAGCGCGCGTAAAACTATGCAACACAAAATGCTTATAAGCACTAATTACAGGCACAAAAGAAAACAATACGCGCATAGTTAAAAGTGCACAACAAAATAAAATAGTGACATTTTTCCGACTGCCACAGGCTTTTGGGCTACATGGTTTAAGACTAAAGACCCTCAAAGTATGCTGTAGTATCAAAAAAAATACTCTACTAAAATAATATTAAACATTTCTCTATAAATCGTTTGACATATTTCCGAAAATCCTCAATTTATTGCATTAAACCGTACATACATTGCAGTTGCCTGTAAATATCACTTTAAGCCCATAAGTATGCAATACATGTAATTATTTATTAACAATATACCATGTTAATGCAATGAAGAACATATTAACAATATTATGCATGCAAAAATTATTAATTAATGCTTGCAGCTTTTGATAAGCTGTATTACAATGTACAACCTGAAAATATGCAACAATTTCTGGAAAAATAATTTTTTGTTTTAAGTTGGTTAAAGTTTTCTATATGAATAATGAATAATTTATGATGTATGTATATATATACGCCTATACGTATGCAATATTTTAATATTTTGCTTTTTATTACACTTTAATTTGCTGCCGTCAACAAAATATTTTCATTACGGTTACTGTCGGTATGCAAATTAGTTGTCTGCTATACAGTATTTTGATGTTTCTGCCGAAAAGTAGGCAATGGAATTGTGGTAAATGTAAGTTTGGCTGCAAATCACTGTTAATTGATAAACAAATGGAATTTTCCAAGCGCAATTTACACTGAAAAGTTGAGTTATTTTTAAGAATGTACGCATAAATTTCCAGAAAATGCTATTTTTTTAACTGTTGCGCATGAAAGTATGCAACAAAAGCTCAAAATAAAATTGTATTAAGTGGTCCTTAAAAATGCATGCAGCATATACAAATTTAAACAAATTTTCTGTATTGAGGTTGTGTGAGTACATATTTTATTTTATATTATTATTTATTTGTTACAATAGCACGTCGCATAAAAGTATGCTAAATTAGCATGCGACAATATTATATAAACAAGTTGCTTCATAAATAAATTTAGGCACTAAAAAAATTTAGAAAAATAATTTTTATACAAATTCCGTTATAAACTTAAATTACACACGCCTAAATGTGTGCAATAAAAATGTGTAATAACATATCAGCAGCAATACGGTAGCGGCATTTTCAAAAATTTAATTAAGTTGCACATAAACTGTAAATTAGCATTATTAAATTTGTGTTTGTTTTATTAAAATCATAAACCTAATCTAAGCAACTTGTGTGCATTTTTATTTTGTCATTTCAGCGCCTCGCATGCTTCACGGAATTCAATAATTTAATTAAGGTAAGTTTACCACTGAAATGGCTATCATAAACCTAACACAAAATTGGAAACATAAAACAAAAAAGCGTCATTAAAAGTAAGCATACTTTTGCGCGCGCACACACGGCACTACATCGTAAAATATGTCGTAAAATTTAAGTGTATTTTATTTGCAAATGAAGCAGTGTGTCGCCAAATGACACGAGTCATCAAGAGTTTCGCCAAAAAAACCAAAAACTGTACTGCTAACGGTAAAAAAAAACAAACTGCAACAAAAAGCATTTGAAGAAGAAATCAATTCGGTAACAGATTTTGGTTTTTATTTCTTTACTTTCCCGGGCTATTTTTGGATTAAACAACCTAACATAATACGGTCAGTAGATTTTCTGCCAGTTTGCCACATTTTTCTTCCTTCTACGTCTAATGTTACTAATGTTATAGTGATTTCATTGGCTATCGTGTAGTATATTTTCCGGCGCACACAGAATTTTTCTAGTGAACTAGCTGCGTGTGTTTATTCAATTTGCCACTTCTTGCCTTGGGCCAGCAGAAAAAAATGAAACAAAGGCAGTAGTATTATTGAACCGCAAATGAATCTAGATACGTAGCAGCATTTTAGGCGCTTGACAGTACAATGAACTTGAGCTTCAAATGTGTGCCATAAAATGATTGTCCGTAGTGGTGCGGGTGGGCATTTTTATCGGCACAAAGAGAGAAAAATATGATGCTTTCCTTTTCCTATGAGAAATCTGTCAAGCAAGAGGATAATGCACTTGAAGAAATATTGAATGCAAATTTTACAAAGATAAGAAATTCTGCAAAATATCAATTCACAAAAAATATTTATAACACTTAAATAGCGTTGGTAATTAAAACTTTAGTGGTTTAAGAAGACTTACTATAAAAAAAATATTAAAGAGGGGTTTAATATTTGAGAAGGGTTGCCAGCTGTTTGTAAATACTGTAAATATTATAAAGTACTGTATAATGCATAAAGTAAATCAACACTAATATATAGCAATCAAACTGAAAACCACCATTTTAAAAGTATTTAATATTAAATTTATTTTGATTAGGGTTACCAGCTGTTTGAAAATTTCAAAGCACAAATAACTGTACGAAAAAAATTAACACTACTATATAAATAGTAAAAGTAAAAACAATTGTAAATAATTTTTTTGGTCGGGTGCTGCCACCTGTCAGCATTTTTTCGCTGCTTAATTTTTGTGTTGGAAAAATAAATGAAGCATTGCAATGAAAATAAAGAGATGTAAGAAAAAATTCCTTCGGTGCTATTTTTTTTAGAAGAGTTGCCATCTGTTAGAAAATATAAAGTCACCAAAATTTAAAAAGATAGAAAAGCAGTGTAATTTGGCAATAAAACTTGAAAGCTTTAAGACAGCTAATTAAGCTGTTTTAGTGGGTGGGGTGGTGCCATCTGTTTTACATTTTTCAAACAATTAAAGCAATATTAATTTGAATAAAATGTAGCTTCGAGATGAATTTTTTAAACCATATTTTTTTGCTTTTCTTTATTGAAGCATATAATTTTTCTCCCTCGTTGTGCAAAATAATACGCCATTCGTTAAGTAGCAAATAAGAGTAAAAAAATTGCGCTACCAGACACATACGTATTGACCTGGACACTACAGTTGCCAGGGAAGCAAGGCAAACGGAGATAGAATAATAGGCAATGTCTAGATTCGATTGTCTTGCTTATGGGCACACAAATCTCTAAGGCTTACGCACAACATCCACTCATGCCTTATGATTATGGAGAATTGCCATTCACTCAGCCATTCAAAGCCTCAGTGGTCATCTCCGCGACAGCGCCGAATTCCCTACGGGCAGCAAGAGAGCTACCTTAATTTTGGCTACATTTTTATTAAAGTCATTTACTGCGTCTTCTGCATTATGTACCTTTGAAGGAAGGTAGGCTTTGTCGCAGCAGAATGTATGGAAAAAATATATAAGCAATTTTTCAACTTCATTAGCTTGCTCTTGCGTTAGCGATAACATGCAAATTTATTGTTGTGTGTGTGATTTTTTTCGTTTTGACTGTTCCTTTGTGGTTGGAAAACCGCAGAGCAAGCGATCTCCACTTCATGTAGCTATCAATACTACGATTCCATGTCATTTCGAAATAATCTCTTTAGGGCTTTTGGGAGTTCTGGCTACCAGAAGCATAAACATAGCTAGTGAACGTAATAAGTGCACAGTTCAATAGAGTGCAGAAAGCATTGTTGAAAGCGAATCTAAATAAATTGAAAAATATGGAAAGCAAAGAACAATAAAGAAACACAAAAATATATACATATGAAAGTACGGAAGAGATCATTGAAATCAAAGTGCTTTAAATATAAAAATACTAGCATAGCTAAAGAAAATGCACGGAATATACGCACTTTTAATAAACTTGCTGCTAAGTAGTTGTTTTTTCAAATTATATCATCGTCCCTTGTATGTGGATTGTATGTGAAACTATATGTGCGACAAATAAATTATTTTTAAAAGTTAATATAGCTAAACTTTTTGAATGGGTATATACATGTTATGTGGATTGTACGTGGAACTTATGTGGAATTTTTTTTTCAAATTATACATACATATGTATAATTATATATATGTAAAACTATATGGGCAGCAAATATATTAGTTAATATAACCAAACTTTTTAAATGAGTTCGTATACTATATGTGGATTGTATGCGGAACGTATGTGGAATGCAAATGGAATGATGGCCGGGTTGCAAATAACTTACTTATGAGTGTATATATTTTATGTGGATTGTATGTGGAACGTATGTGGAATGCAAATGGATCGATGGCCGGGTTGTGAATAACTTCTTCTTTATGTCAATGTTCAATAAAATGTAATTGGTTCATATGTGGATCGAAAGAAAAACTTACAATAAATATAAAGCACAAAAACATATTATCAGACGTAAGAAAATTTGCTACGAAAATGGGTTACACATAAAAACTTGGATGGAACATATGTGGAACGTAAGTTAAATGTTTGCAAATTTATCAATAGCAAAAATTTGTGTGCAAAAAAAAGGTGTGTCTACATAAATTTGATGTATGTGGGTAACAATTTCCATAGAAAATTCCAGCAAAACTGGGTAAAATAATTATTATTTTTCGATAATGGAAAAACGTAGATAGCAACAAATAGATGCTCATATGTACATATATTATATGTGATTAATATCATTATTTAATTTCGTATTTTTATATGACCATGTGCCAATTTTTATGTCTAAAACACTTTCAAATAAAAGCAAAATCGTAAATATCTATTGTAATTGAAGTATATAATAAAATTTTTTGTTTATTAATAAGTAAATGAAAATAAAAGCTTTCGGCACTTATCACTTGAACTTTAGCGTCAAAATAATAACAGATGAAATGAAACGGGAAGAAAAAATTAAAAAATTTGTAAAAATGCAAAGTATGCGAGTATGTATGTATTTATAAATTTTTATAACTTAAACTTAATGGGTGAAAAGCTTAAAAATTAAAATAAACAAATATATTTACAAATTAGGGTATTTATGTATTTATTTTTGTAGCCAGACATTGCCCAGCACAAAAAAAGCAATAAGGTAAACAATCGAATAAAAATATAAACTAGCAACGCGCCACACTAAAATAAATGAGCAAATAAATGAATAACAGATGTGCGAATAGATGAATGAATGACGTTGCGAGTGAATGCGCTGAAGCGGCAGAAAACAGCGGGCAGTAAGCGTAGGAATACATTTTTTTTATACAAATACTTAGTCAATAATGATAATGATGATTAAGCATTTTTTCATACACAAATCGGCAAGTAGCAAATGATGAACATGCCAAAGCTGTATGCTTTATAGGTATTGACGTAATTCACATAGCTGACGGTTCAATCAATAAAATTACGTTGTTGAAAAATATTTTGCAAAAAAAAGTAAAAGAAACAAGAAAATTAAGCGGTAACAGCTTACGTTTCATGAATTGCAGATGTGAACATATTTTAGCAATACAATTATTTAAATTTAAATGCTGTTGCAGACACTTTTAGTGAAATATTTGTGAACCTTAAAAAAAAATTTACTGCATTGTTGAAAATATTATCGAAGAAAGTCAGATTTATAGATCTTAGTCAAAGAAATTGTTTTAAAAATTGTGGAATTTATGTGGATAGTATGTGGATTATATATGTATATAAAACACATATACGAAGAATGATCAAACAATTTTACGTATTTTTAATTACGCACGTTTAAAAATTGAGGCTCCCATGTGGATTTAATGTGGAATGTAAAGTACAATCTATGCAAAGCGTTATCGAACCACACACATATTAAATTTTAAACTATTTTTTTTACTTTGAAACAATAAAAAGGAGGAATATGTACTAAATTAAATTTATTAAGAAGAAACGCTGCAGAAAGAAAATAAAAATTGCTTGCGTTAATAAAAAAAAGTATTTTAAAATCATAGAGTTTTCACAAAGGCTAAGATATTATTAATTAAATCTTAATGCTATTTGGTCTTTGCATAATTTTGAAATGTTTTCAAGTGCTAAAACTTATTAACCACTCTACTTTTAAAAATCGAAAATATATTAGAGTTAATTATTAAATAAAGTGGTGAAAAATATTGATACACTTTTAGACAAGTACACAAATGGAGTCAAAGAATAATTAAAAATAAAAGCTAATAAAGTGTATTTTTACGGTTTTAAATTATTCAAATAATTGAAACAATAATTACAGATAAATTTTAGTGTGGACTGTATGTGGAATTTATGTGGAATGTATGTGGGTTGTATGTGGAACGTAAGCATCAACATTTTATTGACTCGGAAACAACTATATACGCATTTAAACTTAACAAAAGTTTGCATTTATGTATATAAAAATAAACGGAAAGTAGTCGCTATTTGCTTAACTACATACGTAACATATATTGAGGATTAAAGCAATTTACGCACTTAGATAACAATCAGTTTCTATAATTTTTGATACCCTCTACAA